CACTTATGTTTTAAACTTATACATCAACACAACATAAAACAACTTATCACACAGCAAACACAATCAAATAGTAGGTACTGATTCTGAAAAGATTCACCTGAAAACAGAACGAAAACAAAAAAGGTTAAAGGTAAAAGTATAATATAACTGAAACTGTCGACGTGACTATCACACACCAAACGTGAAGGAGGATAAATAACCAATAAGATGAAGAAATACCAACAAGATTTACCTGCTACTTTTTATTCTCCTTATTCATCGTCGTCCCAGTACTCAAATTCAACATCAGGAATGTGTTGGACTTTGTAGTAACTTTCCCCACCTGGTACTAATTTCTTCTTCCACCCCGTCATAAATACGATTACCAGTTTCTTTAAAGAAGTTATATACTTCATCCCGTCTGGTACCTCCTTCAACTTTTTGCAGTAGTCTATCGTCAAAGTACGAAGACATGGCATCGACCCTTCTTCTACAACCCACTCTTCCAACTCGTTTAGGTCAAATATATATAGCTCACATAATTGAGGGAATCCACCTTTTGAACACACCATTCTCCTCCCCACGAAAGCACCTTTTAATAATTCAGCCGACTTTAAATGAAGCAACTTTTCCAGAATCGGCAGTGGATCCTCCTCTATCCTGCAACCACGTAGAGATATGTTTGCAAGGTTGGGAGGGAATCGAGATTGATCAGGAAACCTTGCCATATGCACGAAAAGCGTTAAATCCCTTAGATGAATGAAATCCCCAACGAAATCCACTTGATAAGCCCCCCCATGGGGTCGGTTCCGATCAGCTAATTGAAACCTCTCCAGGTTTCTTAATTCACGGAGAGATGACTGTAGAGTTTCAGAAGTACAATTGCCATCGATAGCTACATAGAGAGCTCTGAGCCTGGTCATACCGAGGAGGTCTGTGACATTACCTTGTTTCGTTGGGAAACCCCACAAGTACTCGAGGTTCACTAGATTACCCAATTCCAACTTTGTATTACTGTCTAAATATAAGGGTAGACAGAGGTACCTCAACTCTACCATCGCTTTAAAGATATTTGGCACATGAATTGTCTCGAACGTCTGTAAGTTCAAATAGAGTAGAAGCTTTAGATTCCGTAGAGAAGAAGGTATATGAGTTACTCTAGTTAAGTATAAACTCAAATATCTCAAATGAATGAGCTCTCCAATGCTGGAAGGTAATATCCCTCCTTCAAACTGGGCTTGACTCAGATCTAACACCCTAAGTAATTGTAAACTTCGGATTCCTTGAGCTGCCTGCTTCCACAAGTTTCCCTCGAGTCCAAAACACAAAACAGATCTAGCTTTTTGATTGTTTTTACGTCCCAGCATATCAAGTGCATTACCACTCTGTACTACGAGTCTACGAGATCTAGTAGGATTATGAGCATTGATAGTAGAGGAGGAAGTCGAGGCTTTGATGACTTGAAGAAAGTTCTCTTCTTTGGCTTTTGATAAACATACTTCCCTCATGATGTCATGCATTTGACAATAATCCCATCTCCAACTCCAATCATCACTTTTTCCAGCAACAACCATATTTCTCCTTACTAGCTCTTCGAGGTAGTCTTCTCCACTTTCTCGAATGGTTGCTCCATTGCAAACTGACGTTATTATTCCTTCTGCAGCCCAGTAATGAAATAATTTCTCCAAATCTATCTTGGAATCTTCGGGGAAATGAGCTAGGTAAAGGAAGCAATGCTTTAACTGCGTTGGCAGTTCATCATAGCTCAGAGACAATATTCGGTAAACCGAATTGAGATTTTTGTCATCTAAACCGGAATTTCCTAAGACTTGAGTTCCAATATTCTCATATACTCTGTTCCATTCAGAAACCGTATATCTCTTATTAGCTAACAAGCCTCCCAGCACTTTAACGGCTAATGGTAGTCCTCCACAATGTGTGACCATTTTCTTACCCACGCCTTTTAGTTCTTCATCAACACTAAATCCTGCAAACAATAACATATATTATAAGATTTGAGCCTTGAAATAATATATCTAATATAAGTCTATACCAAAGGATTGGACCTATCACGGATAATTCAGTGAATAATTAATTGATAAGAAGGCGTTAGTGATAACACGCTTTCTGGCCTTACGGATTCATAAGATTCTAGTATGAAAACGTACCAGTTTCGTCCCTTCTAGGGAATACTACGCTCTCTAACAGGTTCCAACTTTCTTCGGGAGTAAGGATTCTTGGTCTAAAGCCAAAACATTTTGGGTGTGCATGTAAACCAACACCTTCATTGCGAGAAGTAAGAACAATCTTCGAGCCTGCATAATGTATTTCCTTTCATGTCAGTGATTAAAAGAGCATTTATGAAACAAATAAGGATTAGTACTTTAGTAATGTACTATATACAATTAGATATCTCACCTCTTTCTAGGGGAAACACAGCTTTTATTCGGTCCCAGTCTTCGTTTTTCCATACATCATCGAGGACAATCAAATATCTAGATTTTTCCAACAATTGAAAGAGCTTAGTCTGGAGTGTATGGGCATCCATCTGTTTAATGTTGCCATCATGTGGTCTAAGGTCCTGCAAGATCCTTTGCCAAATATCCAAACGCGTAAACTCTTGTGAAACACATACCCATGCGAATCCATCAAAATGACGTCGGACAATGTCATGATGAAAAACTTGTCTTGCTAGAGTGGTTTTTCCAATACCACCCATCCCAGATATGGAAATCACTTGGATGTTATCATTCTCCACCAAATGACCAACCAATTCTTCAACACTCTGTTCCACCCCTACAAGACCCTTTTTAGAATTCTCAGGAAATGTTTCTCGGATCTCCCTTTGCACCCTTTGTCTCTCTTGTAGAGACAGTGAACGACCACCATCTATCTTCTGTATTATTCCAAAATTCTTCAATTGCGCAATCACCGCAGAGATCCTCTCAGTTATGCTTTCAATGTCTTTAGCAAATTTCCGGCGATCCACTAAGAAACAAGAAAACTTTTTCACGCGCTTCTTGATCCCTTTTTCTTTTATGTCTTTGAGAAGAAAGGATTCGATTATATCCTCAGCATCATCAACAATGTCTTTGACATTTTCCAAGATATTTCTCACTCTTTCACTCTCATGTTTCTTCGCATCTGCATCTATCAAGAATGATTGTAACGCTTCCACCTGACATTTTAGTCCATCAGCTTTCTCATGAACTCCTTGTAATCGCTCAGATTCTCGACTCAGGAGCTCCCAGAGTTTTTGCACTCCAAACGACACAACTCCCTCAGTTACTGCCGCAGCAGCCATAACTATTCTCCTGTTTTATCGTCAACACATAAGCAACAAAATAGTATAAACTTGTAGCAAGATCTACTTACGAGAATGTTTGGTTGATCTAATAAGACATGACGATACCTCCCCCAAAGAATTTATTTTTTACTCTTTTATTCAAATTTCATACAAAGTAGTATTAAGATTTGCCTAAATGATTCAAGTGCGTCAAATTCGTCAATCAAGATTTTTGTAACGATCCAAAGAAATTGTTTTTTTTTTGTTGAATGTAGATTCGACCGCAACAAAGTACTAAAGACATATCAAAGCAAGTTAATTAAGCGGAAAAAATAATGATTTTGTTAAAAGAAAACACGATCTACCTTTCATGAATCAGCTCTGCAACTCGCTTGTGGTAGCAATGAAAGAATTGACTCCAAGTTTCTTTTTAAGTAGAAGAGAGATGAGTGGCAATGAAAGAGTTGACTCCAAGTCAATCTTTTCAACGACCGACACATTTGGCTCAACAGTATCCTATGATTCTATACTTCTATGACCAATGGCCGATTGCCACCTGTGGTTATTGTTTTGAACAAGAAATTTTGTCTTTCTCTTTTTGGTCATCTAATTGTTATATTGAAGCCAAGCCACGGCCAAACCGCACGCCAAAAGGCATCTAACTCCGAAAGAGGAAGGAGGATTAGGACTGAAGAATCTTATGGTTTGGAATCGAACTTGTACAATGAAGTTGCTCTGGATGCTTATCTTCACGAAAGAATCATGTGTACAGCCTGGATTCAGCAGCATGTGATTAAAGACAACGACTTTTGGAAAATGAAATCAGCTCAGTCTCACACATATATGGTTGTTTAAGCAGTTACTAAAGCTACGCCAAACAGCTTTGCAATGGTATCGAATTATACCTATGGTAATGATATCACTACCAAAATTTCTGTTTACAACAAAAAAAAAGCTCAAATTCTTCATTCTCTGATCACACTTTCTTCTTGTTTATGACATGGATGATAACCTTCCGAAACAGGACCAACGCCTTTTCTAACCAAAACCTACAACATAGTGGAGGATCCAAGCACAAACAGCATGGTTTCATGGAGCAGAGACAACAACAGCTACATTGTTTGGGAACCTCCCTAGATGCTTTAAGCACAATCATTTCTCAAGCTTTGTTAGACAGCTCAATACTTATGTGGGTACTTTTTGAACAATCAATTATCATATGAAAAAGCCCAATTTATTACTACTCACCCAATTCAATCGAATAGAGGGTATAATAGTCAAATTCTCATAGGATTCTCAGTGTTTTCTACACAAATCTATCAAAGAGATCCACCAAAAATCGCAATCATTCTGAGTTTTGGAATAAAAAACAAACCACGAAACCTATCTCTTTATGCATTCAGCACAACGTGTCAAGTGAGTCTCAATGCGAAAGCCAAGCCTAGAAGCGTTGGAGAGTAGTATAAATATTATGTTAATTGTTTTGCTATATAATGATTTTATAAATTTTTATGGAAATATATATGTGGATTCAAATTTTGTAAATTTTTCTTTGTGTATTTTATAATCCAATTAACTTTTCATTTTTGTAGTGACACGATTCAAGTTATAGATAGTATTTTGGGAAATTGCATC